AGAGGAGAAATGTCTTCAATAGATCTTACAACCACAACAATGTGAAAAACACCTCTGTTGCAAAATATCCTTACCACCAATAGAGAATATTAATCCACACAGGTTGCAACTTCGTCACAGTAGCTCCAATGGTTCCACCAGCAGGGAGGGAGGGAGGGAATAGAACTCTTGGAGAAGCTTCCAAATCTTGAAAACTTGAGCCAGAGTAGCTTGTAGTCTTCAAAAGCTTATAATAGAAATTAAAATGCAAATCACTACTTCTCCAAGAAAAAGAAAGTCTCAAAATACTCTTATATGCCCACAAGACGAGGATCCACAAATAGCTCTGACTACCAATGTCACGGATCTGGTAGTAAAAAGGGCATTTACCCACTTAATAATAGGTTCTAATACAACCAGAGAGTAGCAGCTCCTGGAAAACTACTAAGTCTGAAGAGTGCTAGGAGATGCAGTCACAAAACTGCGGAGGGAGAGTTGAGAAGAGAGAAATCCCATTTCCCAATTGTGTTGTTGGGGATAGGAAGTGAAGAATGAACCAGAAGGCTCAGACCCCTTCCCTAGACCCCCTTGGGGTGCAGCCACCTTCCCCATGGCAAGGAGGGGTGCACTCCCTTGGGCCTTGCCCATGTGGCAACAAACAAGATTTTCAACCAATTACATTTTAGATAGCAAGGATAGGAAATGCACAGCAATCACAAACCTGTGTTTGATGTTTATTGGTTGTGTTTGGAGTGAGCGGCGGAAATATTGTCGACTCACTCTTGGGGCTGCGTTCTGATTGGTTGAATTAGGTCTGAGTTGCACTTACGTGGGTTGTGTTTGATCCAACTTGAACCAATTACGTGGGTTCAATTCAGCAGCAATCTCGATTGGTTGGTTTCCCAATCAATCCACAATTTCCCGCAAGTCTCGCTTCTCCCTCTATTCTCAACCAATCAGATTTCCCCCAAATCCCCCTCACAGCTGGTTCGACGTATCGAGACCAGGTGGGGGTTGGGTCCGAATGTTACAGCTTTTAAAGGGAAAGATAGGAGGACGAGGGAGGAGGAAGGAGGCGCAGGGCTGGCGGGACAGAGGGGGGAGCGAGAGGACATACGGAAGGGGGAGGGGAGGCCTTTGGCAGGCGCCCATTAACGGGTAGGAGAAAGGGGAAAAGGGGGGGAGTAGGCGGCGGTGACCATTATATGGCATGTCACTTAGGCGGAGGTGCCCATGATAAGGCGTGTCGCTTAGTAGGTGGTGACTGCGGTTGCGAGAACTGTTTAGGTTATAGAAACGGTAACAGGCCTGGGCGCCAAGGTGGCGGATGCAGGGTAGGGAGCCTAGGTGGCTTCCCAAAACCCGGGACCGTACGAAGGTCCATGCGCGCGAGTGCGAGAAAAGAAATCGGCAGCCTAGGCGGCAAACCGAATTTTCGGGCTGAGAGAGAGGCCCAAAAGACGGAGATAGGTACAAGGAAAAGTTGCAGAGTAGGGTTCGGTGATGTGGTACGAGCGGATCCTGGAAACGGTGGGTTGGAGGGAAGCAGAGGCAAGGACCGGAAAAAGGAGAGGGGAGGAGAGGGGGGGGAAGAGCAAGGTGGGGAGGAAGGGAAATATACCTTGAGAAGTGACCAAGGGCGGGGGCTGGAGGGGGGCGATCTGTGGAGATGGGCTGCAGGGCGGAGGAAAGGGAAGGGGAGGACGGGGTTAGAGGCGCAAGCAGAGGAGAACGAAATGGTAAAGGGGGGGGGAGCGGGAGGGGATATCGAGTTCTGCAGCCAAGTTGAGTTGAGTACGGGGGGAGAAGGCTGTAACCACTGCAGGAAAGGCAACCGAAACAAACAAAACACTTACCTGAAGACCACGTTGGCGTCGAGAGTAGAGGGAAGACGGACTCGTGGAGCTTGCCCGGTTGGGGTTGGGAAAAAAGGTTGGTGAGGTCGAAACAGGGGGGAGGGGCGAAACGAACCGAAGAAAAAACGGGAGGAGAAGCAGAACGGAAAAAGATGACGAACCGAAGAAAAATAGGTTGGGCGCGATGTCGAACCTACCTGCTGTGTATGCTAAGACGAGGAGAGGGAACCAGCCTAGGCGGCCTACGGTTTGCCTAGCGAAACTAGCGGGAGGAAGGAAGGCTCGAGACATTTCAGCGGGTTTTCGGCCTTGGGATTGCCCCACTTCTCGAGCGAGTAGAGCACGAGATTTGTTCTTCGCTGGGTATTGACTCTGTGAGAGCCGAGTGTGAAAACTGGCCAACGCATGTGCGAAAAAATGACACACTGCCAACAATGTTGGTGAGTGTCAAAATGGCAAATGACACCAGCTTTTTTGACATGTCAAAACTACGGACGAGCCCTGATTCCCACCTGAACAAACGGGGTCCTCCATATCGAGGGTTGCATTCAAAACTTCGATGCTGCAGGGTTTGGTTTTCTGCTCTGCCCCCTCTCCGCCCGCACACGCCTCCTACAACTGTTGCTGCCCCCGCCCATGCGGCTAGATTTCTCGAACCATTTAGCATCGAAGTCCCGAATCGCGCGGCTAGCTTGCGAGTCTATGCGCAATTCTTAGCGTGGCGCGAATGTAGTTAATCTATACTGTTACAGGCGCGCAGCCGGTCGCGTCGCAGCGGCGGTCGCACGGACCGTCGCAGCAACCATCGCAACGGCAGTCGCAGCGGCCGTCGCATGCCATGGACCGGAAGTTCGAGTTCCGGATAAAGGCTCTCGCGGTGGTGGCGACGGCAACGGCGGGAGTTCTGACGCTGTACGCCGATTACGGCGACTATGGCGGCAAGAAGACTGTCCTCGATGATGTGAGTCGCGCTTCGGCCACCCTCCGGTCGTCTTTGTTGTGAGGTGATACAGGCGTAGAGAGAGCTCTGCAGAGAGGGTTCCGCGGTCCCCTTATACGGAGATTAATTGACCAGCGTGGCGTTCGTTGCGGAACACCACGCTGAACGCCACTCGATAATCATAGGTTGCGTGGATTGAGCTGGATGCACGTCCCCTCCGGGCGACCGTAGGCGCCGCGGTACGAGTAGCGAGTGGTTGAGCTGAACATCTCCCGCGGCATAGCATGGGGACTTCGCGTTTCCCTGTGATCTTCTGACGCAATCGCCTCGAGGCTCTGTGCCGACGCACCGCTGTAGCTACGGCCGCGCAGTTGGCTGTAGCGCGTGCTGTTTATCCCTTGCCCCCTGTTCAGCCCGTGCGTGCCAGCGCGCATGTGGGTGGGGAACTGTGGGGATTGGCAGTCAGCGGTGGACGCACATGCAGGGCTGCTCGCACCGTCCCTTTATTGTTGTGGGCATGCAGGGCTTCACGCCTCTCCTCACCGTGGAAAGCAAGAGGCCGCCTACGTGGAAGGCCCCGTACACGAGTTGTGGGAACCGCACCGCACCATCCCTCAACTGCTGTTGCCCCTTTCCTGCCACACCCCCCTTCCTCATCGTCCCCCTCCCCTCCCCCCCTCACCATCCCTGCCTTCCGGACTCCCATCCATTGTGGCAGGTGAAGGGGGCATCAGAGCGAGTGAAGCGGTGGTTTCTGAGACCCAGCCACGAGGAGGAGGAGGAGATTCGAAGGAGACTTGGCCAGGAGGGCGGGGAGGGGAGCAAGTAGGGAAAAGCGCGACCCTGCTGTTAGCTGTAAATGTGCACTATAATATCATGTTGCCTTTTATACTAGGCAGAGCATTATGATTCTGCACATACACTACACAAACCTTTCTCGATCGCTACTTGCTGCTGCGTTTGCACATCACATGGACATTTGATAGTCACACACATGGACATTTGATAGTCACACACATGGACATTTGATAGTCACACACATGGACATTTGATAGTTACGCACATGGACATTTGATAGTCACACACATGGACATTTGATAGTCACACACATGGACATTTGATAGTCACACACATGGACATTTGATAGTCACACACATGGACATTTGATACGGTAGTCACACACATGGACATTTGATACGGTAGTCACACACATGGACATTTGATACTGTCAGAATCCCAACCACTAACCACTGGGATAAAAGGGCTTGTTTGTGTAGCGGGTGAGTGCGCTCATAACCCCCCAGGCCGCCATGCCTGTAACCCTTCCCTAGGATCAATCGGGGATCACCAGTGGACCTCTGACACCCCCCCGCACTGGGATGCCCGAGGTGCACACACCAGGATTCGAACCCGAGACCTTCGCTCTGATACCATGTTAGAATCCCAGCCACTAACCACTGGGATAAAAGGGCTTGTTTGTGTAGCGGGTGAGTGCGCTCATAACCCCCCAGGCCGCCATGCCTGTAACCCTTCCCTAGGATCAATCGGGGATCACCAGTGGACCTCTGACAGATACGGTAGTCACACACATGGACATTTGATACGATAGTCACACATATGGACATTTGATACGGTAGTCACACACATGGACATTTGATAGTCACACACATGGACATTTGATAGTCACACACATGGACATTTGATACGGTAGTCACACAGATGGACATTTGATAGTCATACACATGGACATTTGATAGTCACACACATGGACATTTGATACGGTAGTCACACACATGGACATTTGATAGTCACACACATGGACATTTGATAGTCACACACATGGACATTTGATAGTCACACACATGGACATTTGATAGTCACACACATGGACATTTGATAGTCACACACATGGACATTTGATAGTCACACACATGGACATTTGATAGTCACACGAGTGAGGCCTCAGCAAAACTGACAATTCCTGCTCAGGCCCGAATGGTTCCCTGGAATGTAAATCACTGTCCTGCCTGAAGCAGTGTGTGTTGCTTGCAGTGAGCGGCATGCACACCACTGTGTGGTACCTCATGCTGACTTCTCCGCCTGCTGTGTGATGGCTCCACCATCCTTAGCTGCCGTGTCAAAACGAGACAGTTTGACATGCCAGGCAATGCTGGAGCGGCTTCGCGTGTGCAGCGGAGCGGTTGGAAGGAGTGGTGGGGTGGGAGTCAGTGGTGGTAGTTCTCGCCCTTGAGTATCGTCCACGCCCTGCCAGCACACCAGGGGAAGTGGGAAAGTGTGATGCGCACGCATGCTGCTGTTTGCTCGTCATCACATACACACATTCAACCCGTCCTTCCCCGCCCCTCCTCCACACACACACCCCACACCCCCCTTGTCCACACAACCCCGTTCCCCATCCCCCACTCGCTGCACTCACCGGTACAGCTGCTCTGCCAGCACCACGAGCGCCACCTTATGGTTGAGCACGAGAGAAGAAAGACACAAGCGGCTGTCAGCTCTGCCCCTCCCCCACCCCTCCCCATCACATGCACCAACCACCCCTCTTCTGCTGGCCACCCTCACCGGTACAGCTGCTCTGCCAGCACCACTAGCGCCACCTCATGGTTGAGAACGAGTGAGGACAGGCGAATGCTGCTGTTGGCTCTGGCTGTCACCTGTGACCCATGGCCATAGGGCCCCCCCACCACAAAGGTCAGCGAGCGGTGCGACTGGTGGGGCAAAGGAGGGGCGGGAGGGGTGGTATGCGGGGGATGGGTAGGATGGAATAGGAGCCAAGGACGAGGGTGAATAGTGGAATCGGCAGCACAGTACCTGTGGGCTGTGGCAGCACAGTACCTGTGGGCTGTGGCAGCACAGTACCTGCGGGCTGTGGCAGCACAGTACCTGCGGGCTGTGGCAGCACAGAACCTGGGGGCTGTGGCAGCACAGAACCTGTGGGCTGTGGCAGCACAGTACCTGTGGGCTGTGGCAGCACAGTACCTGTGGGCTGTGGCAGCACAGTACCTGTGGGCTGTGGCAGGATGGCCATACAAACCCCACACCACTAATGTCAGTGAGCAGTGCGACTGGTGCGGCACAGAAGGGTGACAAAAAGTAGCAGAGGGGAATATTTAATGGGACAAAGAGGCCGAACAGAGGCAACGAGAGGGAAGGGGGGGAGGGAAAGCGTTAGGGAGGGAGGGAGGGATTGACTTGAAGGAAAGAGGCCAAAAAGGCTTGGCGGGTGGGAGGTTTGCAGTGCAGTTGACGCACTGTGGTGCATGGTGCATGGGTGCATGGATGCATGGATGCATGTATTCATGGGAGCATGTGTGCATGGGTGCATGGTTGCATGGGCATGGATGCATGGGCGCATGGGCATGGATGGATGCATGAGTGCATGTGTGCATGGATGACCAGGCATCAATGAGTCATGATATGCACCTTCACTGAGAACCACACCACACCACACACACCACACCACACCACACACACCACACCACACACACACACACCACACCACACCACACCACACCACGTCTCACCGCATCAGCGCAGTCAGCAATGAGCTGTGCGAACTGCTCTGACGTCACTGTGCGGCCGCGCTCGTCCAGCAGCACCACCTGGCAGGGGTGGGGGGTGTGGCAGAGCAGGAGGGCTTTTCACCTACAAGATGACCGACCCCAGTGTTTGAAGCAAGACCTGCAGGTGCTCGCCTAAAGGGGCAAGGCCTCACCCGGCCAGCAACACCACCTGGCGAGGAGGGCGCATGAGGAGGAGGAGGAGGAGCAGCAGCAGGAGGGGGGAAGGGGGGCGTGGCCGATGAAACAGCTGCACAGCACACAGCTTGGGGTCATTCAAGCTCTGACGTTCATGCTTGCGTCGTCCGTGCAGCCTCGCTCGTCCAGCAGCACCACCTGGCAGGGAAGGGAGGTGTGGCGGAGCAGCAAGGGGGTGGCGGAGCAGGATGGGGGTGGCGGAGCAGGAGGGGGGTGGCGGAGCAGGAGGGGGGTGGCGGAGCAGGAGGGGGGTGGCGGAGCAGGAGGGGGGTGGCGGAGCAGGAGACACACCACACAAGAGGGGAGGGGGGGGGAACAAAACGCAGCTGATGATACAGCTGCACACACCTCGGGATCATTCAAGCATTGAGGTTCATGGTTGCAACATAGCAGCGGCAGCTTTGGTGAATGCCTAGAGGTGCACGGCTCACCAAACATACAGACACGTATGCGTGGATGAAGCAGGTGTGTACAATGGGAGCTTTGAGCTTTGAGCCAAACTCTCACTCACCCAGTCCGTGGGATGAAGAGCCTTGAGCACCCTGTCGCCCTCCGCCTGCACCTGCACTTGCACGTCACTGCCTACCCGCAACAGCAACAGCCGCAGCAGCAGTGAGCAGCAGCAGCAGTGGCAGCAGCAGCAGTGGCAGCAGCAGCAAGGAAGAAGAGAAGAAAATGGAGAAATTAGCCAAGGGATGAAGCAAGGGCGGCAGGTAACACGGCATGGCATGGGTGTGAGTGGCATGCAGGATCAGCCAGAAACCAGAATTACGTGGCATGGGGGTTTGCCTGCCCGTACCAAACTGGTGCTTACCTGGTTCCCTTGGGGTTGGAGCGCACGGGCAGGTCCTCAAACGGGCAGTAGCGGGAATTTTTTTCAGCATAGTCCTTCACGAGCAGCTGTGTGCCCTGTGAGCGGTGCCGGCCCACTGATATCACTCGCACTGGCAGCCTGCGCTGCGAGGGAAGGTGAGGGGGAAGTGGGGAGGGGGGTGAAGTGAACGTGCAGGAGGGGAGAGAGAGAGAGTAGAGCGGTAGGAAAAACGGCGTGGAGAGAGCGAGAGAGAGAGGACTTAGCCTCTGGCCTCTTCCCTCGGCCCACTTCCCTCGGCCCTCTAGCTATATAAGGGCCCCTCGGTCCTTCCTCCTTTCATTAGTTCATTTGGTGGTAGGAAAAACGGCGTGGAGAGAGCGAGAGAGAGAGGACTTAGCCTCTGGCCTCTTCCCTCGGCCCTCTTCCCTCGGCCCTCTAGCTATTTAAGGGCCCCTCGGCCCTTCCTCCTTTCATTAGTTCATTTGGTGGTAGGAAAAACGGCGCTCGCGCCGGCGGCCTTCGGCCGCGCGTTAGGGACGGCAAGTTTAGCTACAAGCGTCCACGCAACACTGTAACGAGTAATACAGGCGTGTAGACTTTGACCAGCAAATAGTGCAAAACATGCAGATCGTTTACGCACGTAGGGCAGTAGTTACTACATCTGGTCCGCCTCTAGGGCGGCAAGGATCCCCGTCAGGGTCCTCCACAGGGGGCGGAGCACCATTGTGCTTGCGCCGATCACTTCGACTCCGTTCCCAGCCTGCAGGTGCCCTCTCAGAACCCGGACCGCTTCGTCCACCTGCCCGACCGCCGCGCCTCCCCGCACGGGCGCTACCAGCAAGGGCGCCACAAGCGCGGCAAGCTGCCCAGCTGCAGCCAGAGAATCAGCTCGCGATTCAGGACCAAGAGTGTTCTCTTGGGTCGCCAGAATGGACGCGTGGGCGCTCACCTGAATCAGTAGCAGGCCCCGAAGGCACTCCGCCAAGCGCCACAGCTGCCCAAGGGTCACCGTGGGCACTAGAATCTGCCGGGGAAAGGTCCCCTCGGCCAGACTACAACGAGGAGCGGGGTCAGCAGGAACAAAGTCGGCAATGCGGCGCGGGGGGACAAACGGCGCCCTCCCCGCTCCTCCTCCCGCCCCCACAAATTCCATACCGACGACGGGAGGAACCCACGGGAGCACGGGGTACGGATGCGCCGCCGTCCTCTCGAACGCGGGCGGAAACACGGGCGGCGCAGCAGGCTGAGGCGCGGGAGCCCGCTCTACAACAGACGCCGGGACAGCAGTGGCTGCAAGCGGCGGCTGCGAGCCAATCGGGTTCGACGATCCCATCTGCGCGGAGCGCATGGCGGCCGCAAACATCCACGGCAGATCGGCGCGCAGCTGCTGCACCTCCGTCGCGTTTCCTTGGCCGCGACCGTGACCTCCCCTCCAGCCGCCACGGCCGCCGCGATGTGCAGACCGGTACGAGGGTGAGGGGCGACGACGCGGAGAACCACGCCCCCGATGAGACGTCGCGTGGCCCCTCGCAGCAGCTTGATTTTCGGAGCCCGCTTGCTGGCCCAGTGGCACGGAGGGAGGCACCGCCTGATGGGCCGGCGCAGACCCAGGAGGCGCGAGGCGGGCGGGGTCAGAGCCAGCGCCCACCGCGGTCGCCTGCGCAGACCCCCCGACGGCAGCCTGGACGGGCGGCTGCGTCATCGGCGCCAGCGGGGGAGGTGGCGAACCGACCGGTACCCCAGCGGTTGGAAGGGGATCAGTTAGCGACAATCGGGCAGGGTCGCCGCACGCAGGCCGCACCACTCCGCCAACATCAGCAGAGAACGCGCCCGCAGGGGACGGGTCCGCAGCAGACGGAACAAGGAGCGGAGCGGGGGCCAGAACGCTCTCCGCGGTATTCCCCACCACGCCAGCCACAGCAGCAGGGAGCTCCACTCCAGATTGCGCAGCCTCAGCAGCCATTAGACACGACTGTGGGGATTGGGCGAACCCCTCTAACTCAGCGGCAAAGGGCTTTACTAAACGCACAGACGCCTCAGCAATCAGCGCGACCAGCAGGAGGCGCACGGGAGGTCAGGAGACGTAGCGCAGGGACGGCGGACGGCGGACCACTGAATGGTTTCCAAAGAGCTGCAAGTCGGGCTTTAAGTAGGCATGAAAGGGAAGTGGATAATGAGGAGGATGACACTCGGGACGCGGATTATGTACAAGAAGAAGAAGTGGAGTTATCTACGGAGGGCAGTGGCGAGATGGAGGAGGAGACTCGAGCAGGAAGGGGTCGAAGGAGTGGGCCAACACAAAACCGAACCGCATCCCCAAACATCGCCACCAGGGGGGGAATTTCGCATCAGGAACCTGGACGAAACGGGAACCCAGAACCTCCCCGCCAATTCTCACCTGAGCAGCTGGCGAGGGACCAATCCCGTTTCAGCGAAGTTGGAAATTGGGACCTGACACTGCTTCGCGACAGTCGCCAGCCCCCACTGTCACGAAAACTCCCGCGGGATACCCGCATCCAATTCGCCATGGCACTGCTAACGCCACTCCTGCACCTCGCGCGAAACCCTGAGTCAGTCGCAGGCTGGCGCCTGCTTCTCTTCCTACCACGACTGCTGCTCCGCCAGAACAACCCTAAGAAGCCCGATTGGCTAGCCGTGACAGCACGACTTCGCAAATTCTTCGAGGGCGAGTGGGGAGCCTTATTCGAAGCGGCCCTAGCAGCAGTCAGCTCCACCCCTCCCCCGCGCCACCAGCCTGACAACCTAGGCAGGCGCTCTCGAGCAGAGGGTTTAGCGCGGCGTGGAAGTCTGCGCAGAGCAGTGATGGCGCTGGAAGCGACACCAGTGGCGACAGCCTCACCTGAGGTACTCGGCGCACTGAAATCCAAACACCCACCTTCCTCTGACAGGCCCATAGACTGGACCACAAGCCCAACTGTTACACCCACCTCCATCGACTTGGCGGCCTTCACGAAGCTGCTATGCAGAACGGAAAACGGAGTAGGAGCCGGACCATCGGGAATGACCTTCGAACACCTCAGAGATGCAGCCGTCACTAATGCCGCAGTCAACACTCACCTTCACGCACTCGTCAACACAATTATGCGCGGATCACTCCCAGCTGAAGTCAACAACTTACTCACATCATCTAGACTGCTCGCCTTGGAGAAACCTGGGGGAGGAACCAGACCCATAGCTATTGGCGAGTGCCTCCTCCGCCTCGCCGCCAAATCTGCGTTATTTGCCATAGCCGACGCTGCCCGCTCCTTCTTCCTCCCGCTCCAGTTCGGGGTAGCAGTCCAGGGAGGTAGCGAGGCCATTATCCACGCGGCACGAGCATACATGAGCGCGAATCAAGATGCCCTCATCCTGCAAGCAGACTTAACGAATGCGTTCAACAGTATCAGCCGAGAAGCCATTGTCAGGGCCATACGAGGGACTGACCTGGAACAATTGCTGCCGCTGGTCCGCCTCTCCTACGGAGCGCCATCCAAGCTGTACCTGGGCGCTGAGTATGGATGTGAACCGCTGCTAAGCCAAGCAGGCGTCCGCCAAGGCGACCCCCTGGGCCCCCTGCTGTTTGCTGCCGGGGTACACCCCGCCCTCAAAACAACAGCAGCCGCATTCCCCACCGTCCTGTGCATGGCATACGCGGACGATGTGACGTTTCTCGGGGCAGCGGCAGACTGCGCAGCCGCATTCAACCACTTCACGTTGCAGCTGGTGGCCGTGGGGCTGACTCATAACCCATCGAAGTGCTCGGCCTGGAGCCGGAGTCTGGAAGACGTGTCCATCCTACCAGCTGGGGTCCCATACAACGCGGAGGGACTCCGCATCCTGGGCAGCCACATTGGCCCAGAAGACGGTGCATCTACGTTCATACGAGAGCAGCTTGCCAAGATGGCCGCGCCACTGCCACAAATTGCTGAAATGAACCCGCAGCTGGCCAATTTGCTTCTGACGCGGTGCATCTCGCGTCGTGTGTCATACCTGGCCCGCACCACACCCCTCCACCTCCTCCCTGAAGCCGAATGGTCCCGCTGGGCCCACGCGCAACTCCTCACGCTCCTAGACGCATGCGGCGTCCACCACCCGAGGGGGGCGGAAGAAGAACAGAGGGTGTGGGGACAGGCTTCTCTGCCGCCATCCCTTGGGGGGATAGGCCTCACAGACCCCGCGGTGGAGGGCAAATACAGCTTCCTCGCTAGCTTTGTACAGGCGCAGAACCTGCTCGGCACCCTCCCAGGCCCTGCAAGCCTTCACCTGACCGGCACCTTAGCACGACCAGCTGTTGACAGACCAGACCAGCACCAGCTACAGCGCTGGCTCCTTGAATGTGAGGCCTCATTAGGTCGGGAGGCCATGGAGCTGCTGGCGGCAGAGCGGGTTAAGCCAACAGACAGGCTGCAGCACAGCCTGGCCTTGCTCATCCAAGGCAACCGCTACGCCGCACAAGTGGTGGCATCGAGGCAGATGGAGCTGAACCCGCTCAAGGGTCACACGCAGCGGCTACTGTCGCTCACAGGATATGGAGCGGGGGATTGGCTCCTCGCTATCCCCTACATGCCCTCCCTCCGCCTCGCCCCAGAGCTGTTTGCCTTCGCTCTGCAATTCCGGCTAGGACTGCCCCTCCCCGTACCAGACCGCTGCGACTGCCGTGACAGGATCGCTATCCTGGATAAACGGCTACCCAACCATCTTCTTCGCTGCGGCACGGGACATGGACGGACGGACACACACGACGGAATCAGAGACGAATGCATACGTATGGCTCAAGATGCGGGGTTTACAGTGCATAAGGAGACAGTGGCTTTCTGCCCCGTGGATAAGCAAAAGGCGGATTTGGCGATACGAGACCGAACCTCAGGCGCAGTACACATCTGCGACGTCACGGTTACCGACCCAATAAGCAGCCGTGACGAGGACGCCACCAAGGGGCGGGGCTGGATGGCGCGGGAGATGGCTGACAAGAAAATTGATCACTACCGGACGCGCCTACCGTGGGTGGGGTTCTTCCCACTAGCGGTCAAAATGAAAGGACCGTAGCGGTTGATCACTATCGGTTGATCACTAACTGTCAGAATGGTTAGTCCCACGTGCAATAGCGTAGCTCATGCCTGCCTTGCAATTACCTGTACCCCAATAAATACATCAATGAAAGGACCGTTCGAGAGTAGAGCGGTGGTGACCAACCGATCCCATGCGCTCTGGCAGCCGCCACTGGGAGGAATGGATGAAACGGACGAGGGCGGGGAAGAGGGGAGATGAGAGAAGGAAAAGGGGAAGAGGGCAGAGGGGGAAAAGGAAAGGGAAGACGACAGGTCGAGACCAGCTGTGCAGCGGGCAAGCGATGCCGGCCCACCAATACCATGCGCACTGGCAGGCGGCACTGGGAGGGGGTAATATTGGGGGCGTGCAATGGAAGAGAGGGCGAGGAGCGGAGGAGAGGGGAAGTGGGGGGAGGGCGGGGGACATGTCACGAGCAGCTGTGTGGCGTGCAAGCGATGCCTGCCCACCGATATCACCCCCACTGGCAGGCGGCGTTGGGCAGGAGGAAAGAAGGGGTGTGCGCAACAGGGAAGGGGAGCGGGGGAGGGGGAGGAGGGCCGGGTCACAAGCAGCTGTGAGAATGGCAGCAATGGGAAAGGGGGAGGGGGAGGGGTGTGGGGTGGAGAGGCGCAGCAGGTGCGCGTGGCGTGGCAGGGAGGCTTGCATGGCAGGGAGGCTTGCATGGCAGGGAGGCTTGCAGGGAGGCTTGCCTTGGCACGGTTAAGGGAAGGAGTGGGGCAGGGGACGGTGGGCGCGGGTTGGGGAGTTACAGTGGGACTGTGAGTGTGGGGAGGAGGGTCGAGGAGCGGAGGAGGGAGGAGGGAATGAAGGCGAGCGCGATGGGAAGTGGGTGCTTGAGTGATGGAGTGGAATGGAATGGAATGGAATGGGAGATGTGGAAAAGGAATGAAGAAAGAATGCATGGAAGGATGAGGAGCAGGTGAGCACATAGGAGCAGCGAGGGAGGAGGAGCAGCGAGGGAGGAGGAGCAGCGAGGGAGGAGGAGCGGCGAGGGAGGAGGAGCGACGAGGGAGGAGGAGCGGCGAGGGAGGAGGAGCGACGAGGGAGGAGGAGCAGCGAGGGAGGGCGGCGAGGGAGGAGGAAAGGACAAATCATCCCCGCCACCCAATCAACGGACAACATTTCGCGTCAGAGCCTCGTCAGGATTTTCATTTCCTAAGCCACATCGCCACCACGGCTGCCTTACAGGAAGAGCCGCGTGGCGGCGACACGCCGGGAGAGAGCGTCGGCAATCCCTATGGCCTGAGCTACAGCGACTCACAATGCCCTGACGGCATCGTATTGGCGCGTGCACGTGCGCCGTCGATCTGAGAGGCGCTACAGCCCACGACGTCGACGACGACGGCGACGACGATAGCGACGATAGCGAGAATGGCGACGACGGTGTTGGCGGCACGCATGGTACGACTTGCGGCGACGGCCATGGCCGCAAGGAGTGCTGTGCTGGCGCCGCTGCTAGGTGCCGCGATTCGATCGCTCGCAGGGTGGGTGCTGGTCCTTGGGTTTCGCACACGGTCCGGGACGTGGGATCTGCGACGGGCAATAGTCGCACGGCCATCGCAGTCGCGGTGAGGAGGAAAGGCTGCTTCTCTGGCCAATTGAATACTGCGGGAAAATCGAGCCTTTGTAGGTATAACAAATTGTCGGATTCTATAAACAGCACCGGAGTTTTTTGTGTAGGGTACGCCAACAAACCAGCACGTTTTCACTATGCCGAACACCCCAAGCTTCCTGCTCCACTAGCCCCAACCGAAGCTGCAGCACTTCTAGGAAACTAGAATGCCGAGCTGGGAACGCGCCCTTTCTTCATAAGTTCTTGAACTTTCCTCCAAGCTATGAATCACAATCACGACGCGATTCATAATCGCGACTCTGGTTGTGCAAACCAACTTTATCGCCTTTGCGCACAACGCTTGCACAGAAGCCTCGATGGCGACTGAAGCAACGCGTTCCGTGCAGTGACTCCTATCATAGTGGTCGCACATGACAACAGCATTACCGCGCCCGTCCTACAGTCTTTTGTGTTTTGTCCTCCCTTGTCACTCACCTTACGGCTCCTCTTTCGTCCGTCTCAGCTCTTTTCGCTGCTGCTGCTGACTTTGCCTCCAGCCACCGCCTTGACTACGCTGCTTAGTTGGTTACTGACACTGCTCGTCCTCCGTCCGTCGGGGGTGAGTTTGCCTTTGGCTCTGACCTCCTAGAGTAGAGGACAAGCAGTTTGAGCTAGCTTTCCATGCAGCTACTGCTCCTCAACTCTGTGCCTTGATGCTTGTCCCTGAGGGTGACCCGGACGCGTTTAACGTCCCGACTGCTCGCACCTACACTTGCGGAGAATTCTAACCTACGAGGGAGATGGCGTGATGGCGAGAGGGGTAGAATTCAGGGTGTTGCTCTTAACAGAGCTGCTTGTTGACTTAACAGAATTCAAGCATAGGTTTCACTAAGAAAAATAGTTGAACAATAACATAGTACAAGCAAGAGAACCGCATACTAGAACAAAGAACCCTGCAGAACGTTCCTAGTGGAACGTTTAGCTAACTACCATGCATGTGCTATGCCAACACAGCTATGGCAGGTGAAACATCAAGCCCATGTACACTGAACAAAATAATTGTCCTTATGGTTTCGATCTGCCGAGTAAATGGCGTCCAATCGTAAATAAAACACGTATTTTATTGTAGATATTGCATACAGGGCTCGCGTCATGTGTTACCAATTTGTGTAGGCGCCCTTTAGCATGACAAACAAGGAAGATCTAACGAGTCAGCTTTTCCCTCTCGACACCCCATACGGACAAATCCTTCTGAAATGTCTCGCACATTATTTCCAGCGCAGTTAGATTTAGTTTCGTTATGTACAGAGGCGATTACGGGCGTAGTCTACGATCTTACCTTAGCGCTGTCTCCCCCGCAGCATGAAGCGCCTTAGTCTGGAGAAGCAGAAGCGCATCATGCAGCTAATTCAAGAGGGGCGTAGTTACCGCCAAATCGCTAAGGAGATGGGCATTTCGAAGTCCGCCGTCCATGACGAGCTCCTCCGCCACCTCGGTCCGAAAACGTACGACGAGCTAGTGCCGTCACCGGCGAAACCTGGTTGGCTGCGCAAGCTACCCGAGCAAATCGCGCGGATAGTCGTAAGGTCGATAGTTTCAGGTGAATCGAGATCCGCCGAGGTGGCCGCGGGAATCATTACATCTACACACGGCATCAGTGTCACTGGCGCCACTGTTCGAAACACTCTCAAGCGGCACAGAGTTAGGGCGATTGAAAAGCCGTCTAAGCCTAGATTATCTGAGAAAAACATCAAGGACCGCATGCAGTGGGGCAAGGACCATCAGCACTGGACGATGGACGACTGGAAACACGTCATTTGGAGCGATGAAACAAAGATCTGCCGGTTTAGTAGCGACGGACGCTGTTGGGCCTGGATTAGACAGGACTGCCCCATGGAGCTGCACCATGTGAAACAGACCGTCAAACATGGCGGCGGCTCCATCATGATTTGGGGGTGCATGACATACAATGGCGCGGGTTTCATGTGCAAGATAGAGGGAAGGATGAACGGGGAGTTGTACCGTTCAATCCTGCAAGACGAGCTTCAGCAGACTATCGAGTATTACAAGCTGAACCCAGAGGCAGTCGTGTTCCAGCATGACAACGACCCCAAGCATACGTGCAAGCTGGTAAAAAATTACCTTTCAGAGCAGCCGTACTCTGTTCTCCCATGGCCCGCATCTAGTCCGGACCTCAACCCCATAGAACACCTATGGGTTTACTTGAAGAAGCAGCTGCTTGCTTACCCCCGCCCCCCTGCAGGCATTCTCGAGCTGTGGGACAGAATTCAAGTGGAATGGGAGAAAATCCCCGCGGCCTGGTGCAATCAACTGATCGACAGCATGCCAGGCGTGTGCGGGCTGTGCTGAAGGCCAAGGGTCGCTGGACCAAGTACTAGCTTCTGCCTGGTTTGCATACGTGACTGTATTTGTAAAAAACTGTCCATATGAAACGGTTTGCCTAATTCCTTTCCTACTGATTGCGGAGCCGAGTTAATGGCCACATGTCTTCCTGTTTCCATGTACAACCCTCCGGGTTTTAACTTTCTGGCGCCCTTTCATTAAGGCTTAAACACAGTAGCAACTAATGCACTTTTTCCAACCAGATATATTGGCATATGGACAACTAAATTGTTCAGTGTATTCCCACCTAACTTGGTAGTTGTCCAGGTTGTGCATGCACAGTTATGCATGTTTTTGTAGTTACAAAAACATGTAGCATGTTCTTTTTCTGTTGCTGGTTCAATTTCTCCTGGCGGGTACAATTTCCACCAGAATTTGATTGGTCGAAATTTCCCTGCGCTCCCATTGGTCGAAATTCGCGCACATCAAATTTCTCGTCGAAATTCGATCGTGCGTTCGCATGGGTGCGCAGGGGTTATCGCGACCCTGCGCAGATGAACTTCCGCGACCCTCTGCACCAGCTGCGCCCTCTGTACCTGTGCACAAGATGCTGCTGCTGCATCCGCGAACGGTACAGTACCTCGTGCACAGGTGCCTCGGCATTTCTTGTGCACAGGTACATTTCCGCCTCGTGCGGACTCCTCGGTACAGCTACTACGGAAGCCACAATTTCGCCCATGCACATGCAGGGCTCATCTGAATATTCCCCTGCCCTGCAAGTGCATGGGCACGAAGGAAGTGTACACTCTGCGAAAGGAAACTAACTATCGTAGAATACAGGGTGACGAAATGAACTTCGTCAGCGCGTTCGTCGTCGCGCAACATCTCACCGCACCAGCCATGTTGAAGGACATGGCACCTACTTCTGCACGTCGTCGTCATCGTCGCCGACGTCTGCCAGACGAACTTTGCCGATCGCGACAGAGCACCGGTTGAAGGCCGGAAAGTGCAGCCCCTTCGTCAGGAAGTCAGCTGGCTGCTCAGAGGTGGGAATGTACTTCAGCGCAATCTTCCCGCGCTTCACCATCTGCTGCCGCCACGCGTAGCGTCGCTCCATATGCTTGAGGTTGCCCTTCAGCCCCAAGCCTTCCGCGACAGTGATGGCCGACTGGTTGTCCACACGAAGAACAGTCGACGTCCCAAGGTCGAGCAGCTGAAACTCTGCAAGGAGGAAGCGGAGTCGTCGAGCCTCCTT